TATGTTGCCATCATCATTCTCAAAACATTTTCTTTCTACTTGAGCCCTTGGTATCAGCTTCTCATTTTTCCCTCCTTCCCCCACCCACCCTACCCCTCCCATCCTCCCTCCCTCATGAACCCTTGAGAATTTATAAATTGTTATTTTTTCAGGGACATGAAATTTCTTTTGGGGGCGTGACGGAAATGTTTTAACATTATGTATGCGATAGTTGCAAAACTCTGTGTACTAAATATTCTTGAATTGTGCATTTAAAATTGGTAGATTTTTTTTAAGGTTAAACAATAGTTTATTGAGGCTCGCCCTCCCAGGGAATACTAGTATTGTGTCTTTTGCCACTTGTAGATCCTGTGTGCGAGGCACCGGGAAGACGGAGGGCAGCAGCAGCACAGAGTACTGCTCGATGAGGCTCTTGAGGCTGGAGACACTGGCTTCCTCGTACAGCTGGACCAGGGCCGGCAGCTCCATCTCTTCATCCAGGGCTTTCACCCGCACCACCTTCTTGGCCTCCTTCTGTCCATCATTCTCCTGCAGGACCTGGCGCTGGTCTGGAGAGGCCTGCTGCAGACACTGAACCACCAGCCAGTTGCATTTGTTGTCCTGGATGTCAGTGCCAACCTTGTCTGTCACACTAGGGTCCCCAAAGAGGTCCAGGTAATCATCCTGGATCTGAAAGTACTCGCCCATCTCCAGCAGGATCCGCTTGGCATCAGCATGCTCCTTCTCCCCGTCAATGCCCGTCATGTACATGGCAGCAGCGATGGGGTGGTAAAAGGAGTAGAACGAGGCCTTTACTTGACTATGGATTTGTACCTCTTTGGGGTCAACCTGCTGAGATCCACCTTGCCCTGGGGGGCAGTGATGAGGTCCAGGGTCTGTCCTATCTCAGTCTGATAGGAACTCTCCAGGGAGAGCTCGAGTAGGTGCAGGTAGTAGGGCTGCCCCCGGCAGTAGAACTTCAACAGGTGGTAGATAGAGGATTCCAGCAGCCTGGCGTCATTGATGGCATCCAGACCTATGCCTGGCTTCTGGTACCAGCAGGGCTGCCCCCGGCGGGTGAGGGATGAATCCATTATGTCATCCAGTATCAGGAGGAAAGCTTGGAGCAACTCGACCCACCAGCCCAAGGTCAGGGCCCGCTGCAGACTGTCAGCATCCTGCTTCCTGGGCTCCACCAGCGCCTGGAACACAGCCACCACTGTCACCCCTCGGCTGTACTTGCCTCCGAGGACATTGTACTCCAGGACCTTCCTGAGCCGGGCAACAGCGTCTCCCATCTCTGGGGGCCCAGCTCATCCTCAGTCAGCACTTTGAACACATGGGAGAAGTGCTGGGTGAAATTCTGCTTTTCTTGGGCGTGAGCATCCGCTTTCTGGTCTCCGTTCATTCTGAGAGAGGAGCAACACGTTCTGTTCCAAGATGCGAGTTATTGCTTGGTCCTAAAATTGGTAGATTTTATGGCATGAAAATTACCTCAATAAAGCTGT